AAGACACTGAGCTTGTCGATCAGAAAGCTCAGCAGTTTGGCGGTTCGAATCCCTAGTACAGGCCTCCTGCGTGAGCAGGGGGTTGGACTAGATGACCTCCAAGGTCCCTTCCAACTCTGTTAATCTGTTATTCTGTTAAACATGGCACAGTGTCTCTGCTTTGGTTTCAGGACAATTTATATTCTCTCCCACATTACATAGTACTCAAAACAATACTCAGACAATCTACCCAGGATGGAGGAAAAAATAGTTGGGGTGCCCTTCTGTCAGGAGGAATCTAGCCAGAGAGAAAAGGAGTCTTGGTAGTACAGTGGTCTAAAGCACATTGTTATTAAGAACAGCTGCCTGCAATTACTGCAGGTTCGAATCTCGCCAAGGCTCAAGGTTGACTCAGCCTTCCATCCTTTCTAAGGTAGGTAAATTGAGGACCCCATTTGTGGGGGCAATAAGCTGACTTTGTATAAATATACAAAAGAATGAAGGCTATTGCTGAGCACATTGTAAGCCGCCCTAAGTCTCCGGAGAAGGCGGCATATAAATCAAATTTTTTTTAAAAAAAGTTGAAACATCTTGATTGTCATTCATGAAATCTTCCTAGCTCTTCTTATGTAAATTGTAGTAAACTGTGTAACCAAGAGCCTTGGTGGCGCAGCAGACTAAAACGCTGTTAAGTAACACCAGCTGCCTGCAATTACTGCAAGTTCGAATCTCACCAGGCTCAAGGTTGACTCAGCCTTCCATCCTTCCGAGGTAGGTAAAATGAGGACCCGGTTTGTGGGGGCAATCAGCTGACTTTGTATAAAAAAGAACACCGCTTAGGGGGGGCCGAAAGCCCTACTAAGCAGGTATATACAAAAGTATGAAGGCTATTGCTTAACGCATTGTAAATCACTCTGAGTCTCCGGAGAAGGGCGGCATATAAATCGAACCAATAAATAAATAAATCAAACCAATAAATAAATAAATCGAACCAATAAACAAACAAACAAACAAACAAACTGTGGTGACCAGCTAAAAGCATCAGTTGTTGGACAATAGCGCCTCCTAGAGATACATAAACCACTTCTTGCCTTATACGGAAAGTTGACTGTGGTTTGTGGTTCAGCTTGAGTAAACTGAGTCAATTCCCCTGGGAGGAAGGGACAAGCCGCATGGGGTACTTTCAGCTTGGTTTACAGGAGGCCAAATAAAATGACTATAAGGAGCAACAACAGAGTAAGATGAGACTTTAAATTGTCACGTTGTCCAGGAGTAGAGTAAAATTATTCCAGATCTATATTTCTTTATTAAATATTAAATATACTTTATTGTCATTGTACGTATGTACACAGTATACCCATACAACAAAATTCACTTAACACCCAGAGACCAGGCCCAACACACATAACAATCCCCAAACACACTCCCACCCACCCACCACAAATTCCCCGCCCCTAAACCACCCAAACATCCACACAACAGACCAAGTCATGCTGTCCAACAGCTCACTAATGGTGGCCCTTTAGTTCATTGTTGAGTGCAATTACAGCTCTGGGATAAAAACTATTCAGAAAACGTGTGGTCCGAGTTTTCATTGTTCTGTATCTTCTGCCAGAAGGCAACAGTCCAAAAAGATTGTAAGCAGGATGGGAAGAGTCTCTGAGAATGTTTTGCAACTTCCTAAAACAGCGAGATTCGAAGATGTCATCCAGGGCTGGTAGCAGGGTGATATTTGCCGGTTCTCCAAACTGCTCAAAATTTCCACTACCGGTTCTCCAGAACCTGTCTGAACCTGCTGGATTTCACCCCTGATCCATCGTCTCTTGCCCGCTTCAGTACTTCAATTCCTATGCTTTTTTTTTTTTTTTGACTTGCTTCCCATATTCCTCTCTTGGATCTTTATCTCTGTCTCTTTTTAATAAGGTTTAGGATGGAAACTATGAAAGACCAACAGTGACATCTAGCGTCTAAAGACTTGCAAGGAAGATACTCTTTCAGGCACATGTGTGAAATAACAAGGGGAAATCTACTTCACACGCTCTCCTCTTGGTGGCGGAAGGGAGCAAATAAGGTAGAAAGAAAATGAGATTCATTGGGAGATGCAAAGGTCTACATCAATATGGGTTGCGTATTGATGGTGTTTCAAAACTGTTGAAACAATTTCGTCTTATTTTTCATTCATTCAGTTTTGTCCACTTCTATTTTCTCATGTGAGATGTGGAGGAAGCTCCTGAGTCAAGCAAATTTGTTGTTGTTGTTAGTTGCAAAGTCATGTCCAACCCATCATGACCCCATGGACAACGTTCCTCCAGGACTTCCTGTCCTCTACCATCCTCTGGAGTCCATTTAAGCTCACGCCGACTGCTTCAGTGACTCCATCCAGCCACCTCATTCTCTGCCATCCCCTTCTTCTTTTGCCCTCCATCGTTCCCAGCATTAGGCTCTTCTCCAGGGAGTCCTTCCTTCTCATTAGGTGGCCAAAGTATTTGAGTTTCCTCTTCAGGATCTGGCCTTCTAAAGAGCAGTCAGGGTTGATCTCCTCTAAGACTGACCGGTTGGATCGCCTTGCAGTCCAAGGGACTCGCAGGAGTCTTCTCCAGCACCAGAGTTCAAAGGCCTCCATTCTTTGGCGCTCAGCCTTCCTTACGGTCAAGCAAATTTGCAGCCCCTCAAATATTGGAACACTGCTATCATGTTGATAAGTTGAGGATTACCAGTTGATTATGCATCTGAAGAGTTTGTGTTTCCAGTAAAGGCAGAATTCTTGTGCCTCCCACTGGTGAGTAAGACATTGAGTCTATATACAAATGAACTCAGCCTATAAATTTAATCATCCGTGAATAATGTCCAGAAAATGGCAACGAAGATTCTCTTTCATGCATATCTGTGAAATAGCAAAGAGAACGCAGTTCACACACTCCCCCCTGTCAATCAAGGGCAGGTAAACTCCTGTTTTGATGTCACTCACTTTGATTTCGTATATTCCCTGATATTTGATTATTTACCTTAGTTCGATTTATTTCTTCCTGCCTTTGCAACTTGGCCCAAGCTATCATGGTTGATGTGCTGAGAAGCAACCTAGAACCTAGAGCATTACAGAGCCTTAGTGGCACAGCAGACTAAAGTGCTGTTAAGTAAAACCCGCTGCATGCAATTACTGCAAGTTCAAATCTCACCAGGCTCAAGGTTGGCTCAGCCTTCCATCCTTTCGAGGTAGGTAAATTGAGGACCCGGATTGTGGGGGCAATAAGCTGACTTTGCATAACAAAGAACACTGCTTGGGGTGGGGCGGTGGGGGGGGGGGCAAAAGCCCTACTAAGCAGGTATATACAAAAGTATGAAGGCTATTGTTTAACGCATTGTAAGCCACCCTGAGTCTCCGGAGAAGGGTGGCATATAAATCGAACCAAATAAATAAATAATAAATAAATAAATAAACAAATAGACAGAACAATTGTTCAGTGGAACTGCTGAGCTCTGGAAGTTGTGGGTGCTGGAAATTTTCAAGAAGACTGCATAGCCATTTGCCTGAGATTTTATTTATTTATTTATTTATTTATAAGGCTCTTGGGCTCTTTGTAGGAAAGCAACGTTGCCAAATCTGTTTCCAGCTGGTGTCTCTTGTTTCTGAACTTTGTGGGGCTTTGCCAAGGAAGGCCTCTGGCAGGGTGCCAAAGAAGATAAAGGTTTGTGATAAGCCCAAGGGACTTTTTCTGAAGGACTTGTTTTGGAATTAATTTGGACTAAGCTGGGAATGAAGCAATTCTCAGCGGTTATATTAAAATAGTTTTGCTTGGGACTAATTGTGTCTTGTAATGACTAAGTGAGCCTAGGTCACAACATTTGCAAAACCAGTTCTTTCCATTGGATTAGCAACCTGAAGCCTCGGGACTCTGGGCTTCCCCTACGCCCATCACCCTCCTACGTTGTGGAACAGAGCTTGTAGCAGATGGAAATGAAACTGCATGAGTTTCCCTCATATCGGTTCAGCTGAAGGGTCTCCGGAGTCAGGTCAAGGTATGTTGCATTTAGCTTCAGAGGTTTTTGTCACACTTCCCCATAAGAATTCACCACCGTGCAACTGGGTAACTCCTGTGTTCCAGCTAGTACAGTAATAATCTGCCTCGTCTTCAGCCTGGGCATTGGTGATGGCCAGAGATCCTGTACTCCCAGATCTGGTGGCAGTGAACCGATCTGGGATCCCTTCTCCCCTGCTATAGTGGACAAAACTAGGGGCTCTTCCTGGTTTCTTCTTCATTTTCATTTTCGTCATTCTTCGTTTTAGTGATGTGCTTGGCGGTGAGGTAAAGGATGGATCTGTTGATCAGAAGAGTTTCTCCTCGTAAGAAAATATTCAGCGCATGGTCTGCTCAGTTCCACATCTAATATAGGAGAACCACACATGAATGTCAAGACAAGAAGCAATAGATGGGAAATAATCAAGGTGAGAAGCAACTTAGAACTAAGGAGGAATTTCCTAACAGTGAGAACAATTAACCAGTGGAAGGACTTGCCTTCAGAAGTTGTGAATGCTCCATCACATTGGAGGTTTTCAAGAAGATATTGGACAGCCATTTCTCCAGAAGGGGCTTACGTTCTCCTGCTTGTGCAGGGAGTTGGACTAGAAGACCTTCAATGTCCCTTCCAGCTCTTGTCCTACTGTTCTGATAGATGTGCAATCTTTACTAGAGATTTATGTCTCCGTCTTCCAGCCAGGCCACAAACCTGCTCCAGGCATGACCTTTTAATACTCATACAATCCCTTTTACCCCACCTCCAAATGACTGTTGAACGACTAGCAGAAAATCAACTCTACCTGCTCCAATGCTCCACCTTCTCCTTTCATGGTTTTTACTCAGACCTCTCGAGCCTGAGACCGTGGGGCTGGTTGCTTCTCCTGCATCTCCTATCATCTGCCCCAATCCCTCCCCGATGGGGACAGAAAGACTTTTACGCAGATGGAAATGAATCCGGAGGAGCTCATTTCCTTTCTCTTTAGCTCAAGTATCCCCAGCCAAAGATCAAGATATGTTGCTTGTGGTTTCAGACTGAAGAGGCAGAGAGGAGGTTTTTGTCACACTTCCCCATAAGAATGTACCACTGTGGAACGCATTACTGTTCCAGCTGACACAGAAATAATCAGCCTCATCTCCAGCATCTGCATTGGTGATGGTCAAAGATCCTGTGGTCCCAGACTGGGTGGCAGTGAACCGATCGGGGATCCCTTCTCCCCTGCTACTGCAGCCGTTACAGTGGACAAAACGAGGGGCTTCTCCTGCTTTCTGTTGATTCCAGCTAATGGTGCTAGTACTCTGGGTTGTGCAGGAGATCGTAACGGTTCCACCTGGGGACACGGAGCTGGAGGGAGGCTGAGTCCAAGTCGGCTGACCATCAATGCCTTTAAAAGGGGAGGGGGACAAAGAGGGAGGGGAGAGAAAGAAAGACAGCAAGACAGCAAGACAGCAAGAAAGGAAGGAAGGAAGGAAGGAAGGAAGGAAGGAAGGAAGGAAGGAAGGAAGGAAGGAAGGAAGGAAGGAAGGAAGGAAGAAAGAAAGTAAGAAAGAAAGAAAGAAAGAAAGAAAGAAAGAAAGAAAGAAAGAAAGAAAGAAAGAAAGAAAGAACTGTTAAACTAATGTACCTTCCTTGCTCTTAGACTTAGACATTTTCAAGGGACCAAATTCTTATGAACCAAATCCTCTCTTGGTCCAGGAAAACTTTACCTGTGCAGTAAGCGAGGAGCGCTGAAAAAATCACAGCCCAACCCATGGTCAACTTTGGCAAGGAAGATCCTTCTAGGGAAAAAAAAATTATAACCTTCTTCAGATCTTCTCCTTGCCCTTCCTTAAAAGCTCTGGGTTCACCTCAACATGCAAATGACCTCTGCAGCCATTGGTTCTGCTAGATTCTTTTATTCCCTTGAAGTATCTTGAGGTCTTCTCGCTCAGCCAATGACAAGAGGATACATTTGCATAGAAGAGATTCAGAAATAGAGGAGGAATTAAATGCTGTGGTTCACCAGCACTTAGTCAAGGTCTGATCTCCTTGACATGACTAATAAAAGAACAGGAACTGTGTATTTCACATTGAGAAAAAGGGAGAAGAATTAAAGATTAGCAGTTATTGGCTTGGGATGGCTTGGGAGAATGTAGACCACACTCATTGATGTCCTCATCATGGATCGTTCCAGGAGAGGAGATCTCTGTCCAAAGCCACCAGCTCTAGAAAAGAGGAGGGTCATCCTACTATAGGAAATAAGATCAAAGCAGTATTTTTATTATTATTCTTTGAACATGCTCTGGAAGCAAAGTTGTTGGAACAAAACCACTTCCTTTTATCCTTCCTTGTTTCACATGTTGGGTGAAGGCAGCTCAGTGCCTCCTCCTCCCTTAATCTAGATTAGATTTTGCAGGAGCCACATCTGGCTATCCTTTTGGTTAAACCATCCTTTCCAGGATTATGAAAGAACAGCAGTAACCCTACTGGTCACTGATAGAGCAACATCTGTATGATCCCCATCTGAAATTTGACATCATTTGAAGACCTCCGTCTTCTTTTCTCCTGAAATATCACAGGAAAAATTAAGAAGGCGATGAAAGAGGAAACGAAGAGCCTTGATAGTACAGTGGTTTAGTGCACCCTGTTATTAACACAGCTGCCTGCAATTTCTGCTGGTTCAAATCTCTCCAAGGCTCAAGGTTGACTCAGCCTTCCATCCTTTCTAAGGTAGGTGAAATGAGGACCCAGTTTGTGGGGGCAATAAGCTGACTTTGTATAAAATATACAAAAGAATGAAGGCTATTGCTTAACGCATTGTAAGCCGCCCTGAGTCTCCGGAGAAGGGCGGCATTAAATCAAATTAAAAAAAAAATAAATCTGACTTTCTCTCGTTCATCTTCAAGCGTTCCCAGTCACAGGACAAGGTACATTGCCATAATAAGCCACACTCAAAGTCAGCAAAATGTGGGTTGCAAAGAACATTTACACCGAGTTTAGACATCTACTGGTGTTGAGCTAATTGTCCGGTGTTCCAATAACTGCCACGAAGAAGAAGGTGTGAACCTGTTCTCCAAAGCACCTGAAGGCAGGACAAGAAACAATGAATGGAAACTAATTAAGGAGCCTGGATAGCTCAACAGACAGAAGCACTGTAATTTAACATCAGCTGTCTGCAATTAAAGTAAGATCGAATCCCGCCAGGCTCAAGGTTGACTCAGCCTTCCATCCTTTCTAAGGTAGGTGAAATGAGGACCCAGTTTGTGGGGGCAATAAGCTGACTTTGTATAAATATACAAAAGTATGAAGGCTATTGCTTAACGCATTGTAAGCCGCCCTGAGTCTCCGGAGAAGGGCGGCATATAAATCAAATTTAAAAAAAAAAAAAAAAAAGGAGAGAAGCAACCTAGAACTAAGGAGAAATTTCCTAACAGTGAGAACAATTAACCAGTGGAACTTCAGAAGTGTTGGGTGCTCCATCACTGGAGGCATTTAAGAAGAGATTAGATTTGTCTGAAATGATACGGGCTTTTCTGCTTAAGCAGGGGGTTGGATTAGAAGACCTCCAAGCTCCCTTCCAACTCTGTTATTCTGTCCAGTTTATATCCAAACACACATCTCAGCTAAAATATGCTGGGTTCTACAAGTGTGATGTATATACTATCTTATTTCTAGATCTAGATCTGGCAGTCAATCATGTTCGAATGTATCTTTTTACCCCAATTCATCTCTGTTCCTTAGGAAGGAATGTTGAAATTGTAGGACGTTAGCACCCACCCCTCTCCTAGGAAAAGGAGATATTTTAGGAAATCTTAAAAGGGCAGAATATTTCCCCTAAAAGGGAGGCAGAAACTCAACCTTTGTCAATGGGCCATGAAGGCCTGGGCCAGTCTATTCTACATAACAAAGATCTACCTCCTTCAGGCAGAGCCATAGTAGGAATTGGCCAAAGCCCTTTCATTACATCATCACCCAGCAAGAGTCAACCAAGCTTGGAACTCAGGACACAACCTACAGAGTTACCCCTGCATGGCCCCATGGGAGTCTGACAACCAATCAGAATACAAGCTTTGGCAGGGTGCCAAAGAAGATAAAGGTTTGTGATAAGCCCGAGGGACTTTTTCTGAAGGACTTGTTTTGGAATTAATTTGGACTAAGCTGGGAATGAAGCAATTCTCAGCGGTTATATTAAAATAGTTTTGCTTGGGACTAATTGTGTCTTGTAATGACTAAGTGAGCCTCGGTCACAACATTTGCAAAACCAGCTTTTTCCATCGGATTAGCAACCTGAAGCCTCGGGACTCTGGGCTTCCCCTATGCCCATCACCCTCCTACGTTGTGGAACAGAGCTTGTAGCAGATGGAAATGAAACTGCATGAGTTTCCCTCATATCGGTTCAGCTGAAGGGTCTCCGGTGTCAGGTCAAGGTATGTTGCATTTAGCTTCAGAGGTTTTTGTCACACTTCCCCATAAGAATTCACCACCGTGCAACTGAGTAACTCCTGTGTTCCAGCTAGCACAGTAATAATCTGCCTCGTCTTCAGCCTGTGCATTGGTGATGGCCAGAGATCCTGTACTCCCAGATCTGGTGGCAGTGAATCGATTTGGGATCCCTTCTCCCCTGCTACTGCAGCCATCACAGTGGACATAGTGAGGTGATTTTCCTGATTTTTGTTGATACCAGAAGATGCTGTGGGAACTCTGAGTTGTTGTGCAGGAGATCCTAATGGTTTCACCCAGGGACACGGAGCTGGAGGGAGGCTGGGTCCAAGCGGACTGTTAGTTTACTAAATTAAATCAGTCTTTTTCAAATAAAGGCTGTTAATTAACTTTCTTAACAGCCTACAAGAATCTAAAGAATAAATAATCGTAATTTTACTATGGTTGGCAGAAAGCCCAGAAGCAATTTGCAGGAAACTGATAAAAGAATTAAGATCAAGACGCGAAGGAGAGTGAACGAAGTTGTTCCCTGCAAATTGCCTCAGTTGTCGTCCTTCCTTAAATAGGCTAAGGGAGTGGCCAATTAGCCCCAAGCCTTACTCTCGAGGAGACCTCCTCCTGAGGAGCCACTCCTGCATTTGGCTGCTCTGCGCGCCTGTGCATCGAGAAGAGGCTCCTCCTGTTCTTCCTCTTCACTTATGGGAGCTTCTGGAGGTTCTGAAGGCCCTGTCTGAATCCCTGCCTCTGGCACCACATCTTCTCCAGTCTCCTCATTGTCTGACTCGAGTGCCAGCTACATAAACTGCTGGAGCATCACCACACCAGCCTCCTCACTGTCGGAATCAGCTACTAGCTGCACAGGCTGCTGACGGGCCACAACAAATGGAACAAAATGTGTCCTCTTTATTCATTCTTCCATAAAAGATGTCACAAAGCCACCCTTGTTGTTTTTAATATATTTTGTTTTGGGGGTGGGGAAGACATTTCAGGAGCATGCTTTTCTGTGCTTCTCTTTCTTCTCTTCCATACTCCAGGGCCCATCATCCTCTTGCTGGGCACTGAGACATTTCTCAGGTCTCAGTGGAGACCTGAGACCTCTACTGGACTCAGGTGGAGTTGAACAAAGCAGGTGGAGATGAACCCAGCAGGAATGTCTTTCCTGTCGGTTCAGCTCAGGTCTCTCCACTCACAGATCATGTACTTTGGCTTTGGTTTCAGGCTGAAGAAGAAGAGTGAAGTATTTTGTCACACTTCCCCATAAGAACGTACCACCGTGAAACATGTTACGAGCACTGTTCCATCTCCCACAGAAATAATCTGCCTCGTCTTCACCCTGCGCATTGGTGATGGTCAAAGATCCTGTATTCCCAGATCTGGTGGCAGTGAACCGATCTGGGATCCCTTCTCCCCTGTTGCAGCAATCACAGTGGACATAACGAAGGGCTCCTCTAGATTTCTGTTGATACCAGTGAATGCAGTAGCCACTCTGAACAGTAGCGCAGGTGATTTGAACCGTTCCTCCCAAGGCCACAGAGCTGGTAGGGGGCTGAGTCCCAGTGGACTGACCATCAATGCCTTTAAGGGGAGGCAGGGAGGGAGAGAAAGAGTGAGGGGAGAAAAAGAAAGATTATATGTGAGCCTGGTGCACCTTCCTTTGCTCTTAGCCCTTTCCAAGGGTCCGTAGTGTTATGAGAATCATAATCAAATCCTCCCTTGGCTCAGGAAAACGTTACCTGTGCAGTAAGTGAGGAGTGCAAGGAGGACCACAGCCCAACCCATGGTCAACTTTGGCAAGGAAGGTCCTTCTAGGGAGAAAAATAACAACCTTCTTCAGATCTTCTGCTTTCCTTTTCTTAAATTCCATGTTGTTGCCCCTTCATGCAAATGAGAGCTGCACTCATTGGTTCAACTAGAATATTTCATTTCCCCCAAAGCATTAGGAGGTCTTTATCCAATGACCAGAAGACACATTTGCCTAGAAGAGATTTGGAAATGGGGTAAGAATTAAAAGTTCTCCATAACCATCAGACCACTTCGTTGTGGAAAAGGAAACCTTCTCTGTTTCTCCCAACACCCTACTTCTTCCATGTACTTGACATCCATATATGTGTATGCAATTGTGAAATTGAGTTTTATCTCAATAGTATGTAAAGGCTAACATGCAATTATCGTAGAATTCATAACTTAATATATTCTTTTTCAAAAAGCAAACGAAGAAGGACAGCAGAAGCTATTGTGCAATTCTTATCTCCTAATAACTCTTAAATGAAGCTGCCCAAAGTTACACAGATTCTTTTCTAACAATGCTAATGGTATCCTGCCTTTCAGAATACATCAGCCCTAAAACTGGTATGGAGTATGGCTTCCATTCCCGTGTATTTTGCCTCTCTCATGAATCAGGCAGATTTTGCTGCACATTGCCTAGTATTTCTATTTGATTGCATTCACACATATCAGGCAAAGGTGGTGAGGTCTGCTTTTTCTAGTGGTGCTAGAGGAGGAGGAGGAGGAGGAGGAGGAGGAGAGGAGGAGGAGGAGCAGAAGAAGAAAAGGAGGAGGAGGAGGAGAAGAAGGAGAAGAAGGAGAAGGAGGAGGAGGAGGAGGAGGAGGAGGAGGAGGAGGAGGAGGAGGAGGAGAAGAAGAAGAAGAAGAAGAAGAAGAAGAAGAAGAAGAAGAAGAAGAAGAAGAAGAAGAAGAAGAAGAAGAAGAAGAAGAAGAAGAAGAAGAAGAAGAAGAAGAAGACACAAGCATCTTCTCACAATGCCCCAATCCAATTGATTTATGAAATATGTCACCAAATCACATTCCAAACCAATGTGCTTCCTTTTTAGGCCGGATGTTGGCTGATGTTGAATTGATCCATGATTTCATAATGAGAAACCACACACTTATCTAGGATTCCTTGACTTCTGTTTGAGTCACAACTTTGTACATATTGTGAAGCTGGTTCACAGCTCTGTGGAAATCAGTAAAGCTGAATGTCTGAATTGAGGACCTCTATTCTGTTGGATGTTGACTTGAACGATAGGCCTCAAAGCCGGAAGACAAAAATGGCCTTTCAGACATTACAGTTTCTCCCCCAAAATGTCGAAAGATGTAGTTGAAGGACAAAGGTAAAGAACTTGATCAGAATCCAGAGAAACATGCAAAGAGTTCTTAACAAATTTCCTCTAGTTTTTAACCCAGGAAGAGGGAAAGGATACGAGCATCAACATGAGGAGCATCAACATGAGGAGGAGGTGGACTTTCTGAGTTCTGTCCCATGATCCCATCCTTTGGTTTTAATTTGAAATTAATTTTAACTGGGTTGTTTTAAATTGTGGGCCGACATTACTTAATATCTTTTAAATTGTTTTAATTTTTGTATGCTGTGTTTTTACTTTGGCTGTCCACCGCCCTGAGTCCTGCTGGAGAAGGGCGGTATAAAAATCAAATCAAATCAAATCAATAAAAATAAATCATTTGGATGGGACAGATTTGTCCTTTTGCCTTATATCAACTAAAACAAGCACATTTGTCTCTTTATGTCAAATTTCACTTATACCCACAGGACAGAAAAAGGAAACAAAACGAAATGAACCCCAGAGAAGGTTTTTGTCTCACTTCCCCACCTGAATCAATCACTGTGGAACTGACTACCCGTCCAGACGGAACAATAGTAGGTGGCTTCGTCTTCAAGCAGAGCCCGAGTGATAGTCAAGGACATCACGTTCCCTGATCTGGACCCAGAGAAACGTTCTGGAACCCCCGATGGCCTGGTACTGGTGTGATAGATCAGTGATCGAGGTTTATTCCCAGGTGTCTGCTGGGACCACCAAGGGTAGTTGCCATCCCCAAGATTTCCACCATCGTATCGACAAGATATGGTGACTGTGCCCCCAGGGGATACAAATTCTGGATTCTTCAGGTTCTGCAGTTGTTGAAGGCTGGGGCCTGAAAGAGAGGAAGATGTCGCTTGTTCAACAGAGGGTCAAGAGGAGCACCACAAATGGCCAACTCAACTATCGAGCAAGGAAGCTCTTCTGAGGTTAGTTCTAGAAAGGGTTGTACCTCCTTTCTCTTACCGACACAGATCAGGACTATGAAGAGAAGAAGTGCCTGGGACATCGTGGGAGAACTCAATGGGCCAACCCCTTCTCTAAAGCGAATGGATTTCCCCCTTGCCTCCTCTCCACCTCTCTTAAATCCCCAAAGGACAAAAAAGGACCTCCTCATGCAAATGTCTTTGCTCTTCAACTACTACCCCAGCCCTCAAGATTAGAGAGGCGACGTGCAACTGTTAAGATATGTCTTGCCTAAAAGTAATATTTCCCTGAAGTGAAAAGATTCTTTATAAGTGAAAGAAGAGACCAGAATGAGCTGTTTAAGAGATTGAAGACTATCTGGGGTTCATTCCAGGGAACCTGTTTTGACGTGCTTGAGTTTACAAAGCCATAGGACAGAAAATGCACTCGTATTCGGGCAAATATGGGATGGATTGGAGGAATGTGCCCCGCACTCCTTGATTAATTCTCATGGTTCAAAGAGAGGAAATTTCTCTTGAAGACCACGGTCTAGGAAAAGCAGAGGGCCTTACTCCAACTGGACATATGGGCTAGGGCTACTCATATGACATACGGGATGCGGTGGCTCAGTGGCTAAAGACGCTGATCTTGTCGATCGAAAGGTCAGCAGTTCAGCAGTTCGAATCCCTAGTGCCACATAACGGGGTGACTTGTCCCAACTTCTGCCAACCTAGCAGCTCGAAAGCACGTAAAAAAAAAAATGCAAGTAGAAAAATAGGGACCACCTTTGGTGGGAAGGTAACAGTGTTCTGTGCGACTTTGGCGTTGAGTCATGCCGGCCACATGACCCCTGAGATGTCTTCGGACAGCGCTGGCTCTTCGGCTTTGAAACGGAGATGAGCACCGCCCCCTAGAGTCGGGAACGACTAGCACATATGTGTGAGGGGAACCTTTACTATTACTTATTTCACCTGGTGAAGGAAGGATCTGTGCTTTCCTATCTCCCATACTCTAGAACAAGGTTGTCAAACTCCTAGCTTGCAGGCCAGATGTGTCACACACTGGCCAAGCCTAAGCCAGGTTCAGTGAAGGGGGAAAAAGTCCCAATATGTCACGTGAAGCTGCTGTGATGACATGAGTTTGACACCACTGCTCTAGAAGAACAGTCTCAACTTTGCAGGAGCCACATCTGCCCATCCTTTTGCTGAAGCCATTTTTTTTGAAGAATATATGAAAGTGCAGCAGCAACATCTACTGGCCACAGATATTGTAACATCTGTGTCATCCCTACCAAGGCTGAAGAAATTTGCCATCCTTTGAAGACCACCAAACTTCCTTCTCCTGAAATATCAGAAGCACACACACCATAAGAATGAGTTGAAGGATGCGTCATCTTTATCAACTCTCTTACAGAAGATGTCACAAAGTCTCCCATATTGTTTCTAGCACTTTGATTTTGGGAGAGGTGAGGGGGAGGAATAGCCATTTTAGGTAGAGATTATAGCAATAGCACTTAGACTTATATACCACTTCACAGTGCTTTACAGCCTCTCTAAGAGTCAGCCTCTTGCCCCTCAAAAACTGGGTCCTCAGTTTATTCACCTTGGAAGGATGGAAGGCTGAGTCAACCTTGAGCCTGGTGGGATTCGATCTGCCAAATTGCAGGCAGCCAGCAGTCAGCAGAAGTAGCCTGCAGGACTGCCCTCTAAAAAGTGTCTCACCTCGGCTCTTATTATATATAAGTCGCCTGATGCTTCTCTGGGCTGGTCCTTCTTGACTTTAGAGGTGTGCTTGAGGTTAAGGTAAAGATTTACCTGTTCATCAGATGAGTTTCATGTTTCCATTGTCTGATTCATTTCTCCTGGTAAGAACATTTAACATGAACAAGTAAAGGAAACAATGATAGATTGGGCAGAAAATTTTGGATATTCAATTGAATTAGATAAATGGCAGCAGCTATGGGAAAGGAATTATAAATTAACAATGCATATAAAGAGAATCAATATAAAATGTGTTATCGATGGCATATGACACCTGAAAAATTGGCAAAAGTGTTTAAAGATAAATCAGCTAAAAGTAGCATTTCCAATGCCATCAACACCAGGATCTTACTATCATATGTGGTGGACGTGTCCAGAATTATTGGATTAGAATTAAAACATGGTTAGAAGAAATGCTTGAACAACATATGGATTTGAAACCTGAGCTGTTCCTTTTGGGTATCCTTCCAGAGAAAATTAGTAAAGAAAAGGTATATCTGATTATACATGTAATAACTGCAGCGAGGAGAGTATTTGCGCAAAGATGGAAAATAAAGAAAATGCCTTCAGAAGAGGAAGTAATTAAAAAAATATTAGATTGTGTAGAAATGAATAGACTGACTTTGATAATAAAAGAAAAAGAGGATTCGGAATATTACAAGGTATGGAGACAATTTTACAATTGGTTAGAGAAGAGATATAGATAAATGTATTAATAGTAAACAAGAAAATGTTATAATAAGTGAAGTATGGGGAGAATGTCATAATAAAGAAATGGGAAAAATCAAGAGATGAAGATTGGAGGAGTAAGAAGACGAAGAAGACGACGACACAAAAGAAATATCTAGATGACATACTGAATGATTGATTATGTGTTGCATGATTGATTGTTTATATAAAAAAAATAAAAAAAACATTTTAAAAAACCCTGAGGTCAATTCAGTTCGATGTCGAATCCAGGATAAGCGTGCAAATCTCTACAAAGAGTTCATCCTAGCATCCCGTAGCCTTGGCACAAACTTGCAGCAGTGACCAATTTTTAATCTGTGTCCTCACACAGTCCCTTTTGTGTTCAAAATCTAATGCAGGAGAACCACACACAAATGTGAAAATTTTTACCAAGTGTTCATCCCCACATACAATATATTGGCACAAAGATGCCCCAGTGACCTCTTTTTAACGTGTGTCCTCATACAGTCCATTTTATCCCACCTCCAAGCAAGTGTTGAAGGACCTTCAATTTATCTCTCGCTTCTCCATTGTTAACGTCTTCTTCTTTCAATATTTGGACTTATAGCACAGGAGGAACTGAGGCCAAGGATCTCTAGGCTTCCCTGCACCCTTCTCATCCACACTCCTGTGCCCACCATCGCCCTTGCTGGGCATTGAGAGATTTCTCTGCAGAAGGTGATGAATTTGCAGGAAGTTTCTATCCTGCATCATCAGCTCATGTGTCCCCAGTCACAGATCAAGGTATGTTGCATGTGGTTTCAGTCTGAAGAGGCAGAGAGGAGGTTTTTGTCACACTTCCCCATAAGAATGTATCACCGTGCAACACGGTAACTGCACTGTTCCAGCTACCGCAGAAATAATTTGCCTCGTCTTCAGCCTCTGGTGATGGCCAGAGATCCTGTACTCCCACTTCTGGTGGCAGTGAACCGATTTGGGATCCCTTCTCCCCTGCTGCAGCCATCACAGTGGACAAAATGAGGGCCTTTTCCTGCTTTCTGTTGATACCAGCCAATGTTATAGGAACTCTGAGTTGTTAAACAGGAGATCGTAATGGTTCCACCTGGGGACACGGAGCTGGAGGGAGGCTGAGTCCAAGCGGACTGACCATCGATGCCTTTAAATAATGGTGGGAGATAGGAAAGGAAAGAATGAGGGAAAAAAGAAAGAAATATAGTTAAACTGATGCATCTTCCTTTGCTTTGATCATTTCCAAGGAAAGCTTTTCTTATGAGAATCACAGCCAAATCCTCTCTTGTTCCAGGAAAGCTTTACCTGTGCAGTAAGTGAGGAGTGCTAAGAAAATCACAGTCCAACCCATGGTCAACTTTGGCAAGGAATATTCTTTTAGGGAAAGAAATTATAACCTTCTTTAGATCTTCTCCCTTCCTTTCCTTAAATGCCCCTGCTTTCTCCTTTCATGCAAATGAGATCTGCCCTCATTGGTTCTACCAGACAACTTTCTTCCCCAAAACCATTTGAGGTCTTCTGGTTTAACCAATGACCGGAGGAAAGATTTGCATATTAGAGATTTGGAAAACGGGAGGAATTAATAGGTCTCAATTAAAAATCAAATCGTGCTGCTTGTAGAATAAGAAAACTTGTGAATTTCTTCAAACACGCTTCTTTATATGTGAAATTAACGTGAAAATTATACATGAAATTGGTCAACTCTACTTCATCTCAATAGTGCATAAAACCACCAAGCCTAGGGAAAAAGAGGAGGACCATACTCCATTTGGACATTTGGGCTAAGGCACGTCAAAAGAAATCCTCATATTCTTCATTTTATTAATATTTGGAGGAAGCCACCTGAAGCAGACTTGGTGGTCCCAATCATTTCCTCTCATCCTACATATTTCCTGTGTCCTATGAGGGATCAGCACCTTCCTTCTTCACTTACTGAGGAGGAAGAGAGGAGACATTTCAGGAGCCACATCTGACCATGCTTTTGCTGAAGTCATTTTTTGGAGAACTGTGAAAGGGCATCAGCAGCCCCTACTGGCCACTGATATTGCAACAACTGTCTTATCCCCACCTGGGCTGAAGAAATGGAGCATTTCTGTCCTTTGAGGACCATCATCTTTCTTCTGATTAAAGATCAGAAAAAGAAGAGAAGAAAGATAAGTTGAAGGAGAAGGAGGATGTGCCTTCTATCTTAATTCTCTTACAGAAGATTACACAAAGCCTCCCTTGTTGCTTTTAATACTTTGATTTGAAGAAAGACATTTCAGGTATCAATTACATATAAATCAGGGGCATCATCTTCTCTGGACGTGTCCTTCTTAATTTTAGTGGCATGTTTGGGGTTGAGGTCAAGGAGATACCAATTCCTCAGGAGAGTTTTATGAGGACGATTCATTTCTGCTGGTAAGAAAACACTTAGCACTTGGTGGTCTGTAAAGTTCAGCATCTAATGTAGGAGAAGCACACAGGAGTGTACAACTCTTTGCAAAGGGTTCATTCTGACATCCTCTAGCCTTGACCTAAGCTTGCGCCTTTTAGCCAGTTACAATCCCTTTTCTCCCACATCCAGTCCAGTGTTGAAGCACCTGCCAATCATCTGTAGCTGCTCCAATTTTGCATCTTCTTCTTTGGTAGTTTTCACCCAAAGCAGAGAGGGCTGATGATGCCCTGGGCCTCCCCTGCATCTTCCTCTTCCATGCTCCTGTACCCATCATCCTCCTTGATGGGGACAGAGAGGCTTCTTTGCAGATGGAAATGAGCCAGCAGAAGTTTCTCTCCTGTCTTTTCAGTTCAAGTACATCCAATCCCCAGTCAAGGTTTGTTGTTTCTTGTTTCAGGTTGAAGGGGCAGAGAGGAGGTTTTTGTCACACTTCCCCATAAGAATTCACCACCGTGGAACACGGTAACTGCCCTGTTCCAGTTACCACAGTAATAATCTGCCTCGTCTTCAGCCTGGGCATTGGTGATGGTCAAAGATCCTGTAGTCCCAGATCTGGTGGCAGTGAACCGATCAGGGATCCCTTCTCCCCTGCTGCTACTGCAGCCATCACAGTGGACAAAACGAGGGGCTTCTCCTGCTTTCTGTTGATACCAGCTAATTGTGTAGTAAGTGTGAGTTGTTGAACAGGAGAGTGTGATGGTTCCACCCAGGGACACGGAGCTGGAGGGAGGCTGAGTCCAAGCGGACTGACCATCAATGCCTTTCAAAAGGTGGAGACAGGGAGAGAAAGAGTGAGGGGAGAAAAAGAAAGGAACACTGTTAAACTGATGCATCTTCCTTTGCGTTGACCATATCCAAGGGACCAAATTCTGAGAATCAATCAACCAAATTCTCTATTGGTCCCTGTAAATGTTACCTGTGCAGTAAGTGAGGAGCGCAAGGAAGAACACTGCCCAACCCATGGTCACCTTTGGCAAGGAATGTCCTTTTAGCAAAGAAAATGATAACTTTCTTCCAATCTTCTCCTTTTTCCTTTCCTTAAATGCCCCTTGCTTTCTCTTCTCATGCAAATGAGATCTGCACTCATTGGTTCTACAAGTATATTTTATTCCCCCAAAAAGCATGATGAGGTTTTCTAGTTGAGCCAATGACTAGAGGAAACGTTTGCATAGAGGAGATTTGGAAACCTGGACAAATTAAAAGGTCTCAATTAAAAATCACAGCCTGCTGCTTGAGCAGCAGGGAATTTTCTGAATTTTTTCAAACGCACCATACTTGAAATTGACATCAAAACGATCAATGAAATTGTGTGACTCTACTTAATCGCAACAACATGTAAAACCTAATTTACAAATACAATAGAATTAAGAGCATTTTTTTTTCAAAATGGGGAAAAAAAGAAAAACCACCAGTTTAACGGAAAAGAAGCGAACCATATGGACTAAGGCAGGTCATAAGCAATCCTCTCTTCCTTTTTTTAATATTTGGAACAATCCACCGGAAGTAGAATTGCTGGACATAACTATTTCCTTTTCTCCTGCATATTTCACCTGTTCTGTGAAGGATCAGTGCTCTCCTCCTTCCCTTCCTCTCAAGGAAGAGACCAGACATTTCAGGACCCACATCTGCATGTACTTTGGCTTCTAATTTATTTTTATTGTTTTTGGAGAATCAGCTAAGTGCAACAGCAGCTCCTGCTGGCCACTGATTTTGCAACCTCTGTGTTAGCTGCACGTGGGCTGAAGAAATGTAGCACTTGTAGTTCCCTTGAGGTCCATCATCCTCACAATTCTCCTCAAATACCGTGAAAAGGACAGGAAAAAAAATAAGTTGAAAGAGAACGAGAAGGTGCCTTCCTTCTTAATTCTCTTACAAAAGATTTCACAAAGCCGCCCTTGTCCTTTTTAACCCTTTGATTTGAAGAGAGACATTTTATGTAGAGATTATATATAAACTTGGAGCATCGTGCTTCTCCTTCTAAACATTATTGGTGTGTTTGAGGTTGAGGTAAAGGTGAGTTTCATGTCTTTAATGGCTGAGTTATTTCTCCTGGTAAGAACATGTTGCAGGTCTTCGGTAAAGTTCAAAATCTAATGCAGGAGAACCACACATGAATGTGAAAATTTTTACCAAGTGTTCATCCCCACATACAATATATTGGCACAAAGATGCCCCAGTGACCTCTTTTTAACGTGTGTCCTCATACAGTCCATTTTATCCCACCTCCAAGCAAGTGTTGAAGGACCTTCAATTTATCTCTCGCTTCTCCATTGTTAACGTCTTCTTCTTTCAATATTTGGACTTATAGCACAGGAGGAACTGAGGCCAAGGATCTCTAGGCTTCCCTGCACCCTTCTCATCCACACTCCTGTGCCCACCATCGCCCTTGCTGGGCATTGAGAGATTTCTCTGCAGAAGGTGATGAATTTGCAGGAAGTTTCTATCCTGCATCATCAGCTCATGTGTCCCCAGTCACAGATCAAGGTATGTTGCATGTGGTTTCAGTCTGAAGAGGCAGAGAGGAGGTTTTTGTCACACTTCCCCATAAGAATTCACCACTGTGCAACATGGTAAATGCACTGTTCCAGCTACCACAGTAATAATCTGCCTCGTCTCCGGCTTCTGCATTGCTGATGGTCAAAGATCCTGTAGTCCCAGATCGGGTGGCAGTGAATCGGTTTGGGATCCCTTCTCCCCTGTTACTGCAGCTATCACAGTGGATGAAACGAGGGCCTTTTCCTGGTTTCTGTTGATACCAAGCAATCCAATTGGTACTCTGAGTTGTGCAGGAGAGTGTGATGGCTCCACCTGGGGACACGGAGCTGGAGGGAGGCTGAGTCCAAGTGGACTGACCATCGATGCCTTTAAATAATGATGGGAGATAGGAAAGGAAAGAGTGAGGAAGAAAAAGAAAGAAATGTAGTTAAACTGATGCATCTTCCTTTGCTTTGATCATTTCCAAGGAAAGCTTTTCTTATGAGAATCACAGACAAATCCTCTCTTGTTCCAGGAAAGCTTTACCTGTGCAGTAAGTGAGGAGTGCTAAGAAAATCACAGCCCAACCCATGGTCAACTTTGGCAAGGAATATTCTTTTAGGGAAAGAAATTATAACCTTCTTCAGATCTTCTCCCTTCCTTTCCTTAAATGCCCCTGCTTTCTCCTTTCATGCAAATGAGATCTGCCCTCATTGGTTCTACCAGAAAACTTCCTTCCCCAAAACCATTTGAGGTCTTCTGGTTTAACCAATGACCGGAGGAAAGATTTGCATATTAGAGATTTGGAAAACGGGAGGAATTAATAGGTCTCAATTAAAAATCAAATCGTGCTGCTTGTAGAATAGGAAAACTTGTGAATTTCTTCAAACACGCTTCTTTATATGTGAAATTAACGTGAAAATTATACATGAAATTGGGCGACTCTACTTCATCTCAATAGTGCGTAAAACCACCAAGCCTAGGGAAAAAGAGGAGGACCATACTCCATTTGGACATTTGGGCTAAGGCACGTCAAAAGAAATCCTCATATTCTTCATTTTATTAATATTTGGAGGAAGCCACCTGAAGCAGACTTGGTGGTCCCAATCATTTCCTCTCATCCTACATATTTCCTGTGTCCTATGAGGGATCAGCACCTTCCTTCTTCACTTACTGAGGAGGAAGAGAGGAGACATTTCAGGAGCCACATCTGACCATGCTTTTGCTGAAGTCATTTTTTGGAGAACTGTGAAAGGGCATCAGCAGCCCCTACTGGCCGCTGATATTGCAACAACTGTCTTATCCCCACCTGGGCTGAAGAAATGGAGCATTTCTGTCCTTTGAGGACCATCATCTTTCTTCTGATTAAAGATCAGAAAAAGAAGAGAAGAAAGATAAGTTGAAGGAGAAGGAGGATGTGCCTTCTATCTTAATTCTCTTACAGAAGATTACACAAAGCCTCCCTTGTTGCTTTTAATACTTTGATTTGAAGAAAGACATTTCAGGTATCAATTACATATAAATCAGGGGCATCATCTTCTCTGGACGTGTCCTTCTCAACTTTAGTGGCATGTTTGGGGTTGAGGTCAAGGAGATACCAATTCCTCAGAAGAGTTTTATGAGGACGATTCATTTCTGCTGGTAAGAAAACACTTAGCACTTGGTGGTCTGTAAAGTTCAGCATCTAATGTAGGAGAAGCACACAGGAGTGTAGAACTCTTTGCAAAGGGTTCATTCTGACATCCTCTAGCCTTAACCTAAGTTTGCACCTGTGACCGCCTTTTAGCCAGTTACAATCCCTTTTCTCCCACATCCAGTCCAGCGTTGAAGCACCTGCCAATCATCTGTAGCTGCTCCAATTTTGCATCTTCTCCCTTGGTAGTTTATGCTCAAACCAGAAGGGGGCTGATGATGCCCTGGGCTTCCCCTGCATCTTCCTCTTCCATGCTCCTGTACCCATCATCCTCCTTGATGGGGACAGAGAGGCTTCCTTGCGGATGGCAATGAGCCCGCAGAAGTTTCTCTCCTGTCTTTTCAGTTCAAGGACATCCAATCCCCAGTCAAAGTATGTTGTTTCTTGTTTCAGGCTGAAGAGGCAGAGAGGAGGTTTTTGTCACACTTCCCCATAAGAATTCACCACCGTGGAACGCGTTGCCTGCACTGTTCCATCTACCACAATAATAATCTGCCTCGTCTTCAGCCTGTGCATTGGTGATGCTTAAAGATCCTGTAGTTCCAGATCTGGTGGCAGTGAACCGATTTGGGATCCCTTCTCCCCTGTTACTGCAGCCATCACAGTGGACAAAACGAGGGGATTTTCCTGGTTTCTGTTGATGCCAGTAAATAGTACCAGTAACTTGGGTTATGCAGGAGATCGCAATGGTTCCACCTGGGGACACGGAGCTGGAGGGAGGCTGAATCCAACTTTCTTGACAGTCAATACCTTCAAAAGGGAGAAAGAGAGTAGTGAAGTAAAGGAAAAAAATACCGTATCTGCGATCCACTTTATTTTTCTTAAATATTTCAGGGAACCGTGTTTTTATTAAACTCAAAAGCCAAGCCTCTCTTGGACCAGGTAAACTTTACCTGTGCAGTAAATGAAGAGTGCTAAGAAAATCACAGCCCAACTCATGGTCAGCTTTGGCAAGGAATATTCTTTTAGGGAAAGAAATTATAACCTTTTTCAGATCTTCTCCCTTCCTTCCCTTAAATGCTCCTGCTTTCTCCTTTCATGCAAATGAGATCTGCCCTCATTGGTTCTACTAGAAAACTTTCTTCCCCAAAACCATTTTGAGGTCTTCTGGTTTAACCAATGACCAGAGGAAACATTTGCATAGACGAAATTTGGAAACAAGGAGGAAGAATTAAAAGGCCTCAATGTCAGATCACCCTTTGGTAGATGAGGGAGCCTTCTCTATTGAAACACTCTACTTGGGTTCAGGATCCACACTTTCTCCCAGGAGAAGTTCCAAAAAAACACTTGTCTCCAGAATATGCGCTTTCTCTGAAGAGATCTGAGAAGTTGTAACTTGTAATTGCTATGAGGCCCATTATAGTGGGTGCAGAAGTCCCATGTAGGAACTAAGCCAAGGGTTGTGGGAAAGGAAGACTTTCACGTTTCCAGTGGGTGATACAATTCTCCTAGTAAGCAAATAGTCAGCACGTGGTCTGCTCAGTGGCATATCTAATGTAGGAGAAAAACAGAGGAGTGTGCAAATCTTTACTAAGGGTTCATCCCTACATCCTCCAGCCATGCCACAAACCTATCCCAGTGACCGCTCTTTAGTGCTGTATCCTCCTACAATCCCTTTTTATCCTTCCTCCTGTTCAGTGCTCAATCAGCTGAGAATGATCTCTTCCTTCTCTTCCTTCTCCAATTTTTCATCCCTTCCTTTCACAGTTTCTGCTCAGGTCATGAAAGTTATGGCGCTGTTTGCTTTCCATGAATTTGTCCCCCGGTGCCCATCACCTCCATGGAAGAGACGGAGAGAATCCTTTCAAGATGGAAATAAACTTACAGGTTTTTCTCTCCTGCACCTTCAGCTCAAGGGCCCACATAGTCGCAGGTCAAGGGATGTGGCTTGTGGTTTCAGGCTGAAGAGGCAGAGAGGAGGTTTTTGTCACACTTCCCCATATGAATGTACCACCGTGCAACATGGTATCAGCACTGTTCCCGCTACCACAGTAATAATCTGCCTCATCTCCAGCCTCCGCATTGGTGATGGCCAAAGATCCTGTACTCCCAATTCTGGTGGCAGTGAACCGATCAGGGATCCCTTCTCCCCTGCTACTACAGCCATCACAGTGGACAAAATGAGGGCCTTTTCCTGGTTTCTGTTGATACCAGCCAATGCTGTAGGAACTCTGAGTTGTTAAACAGGAGAGTGTGATGGTTCCACCTGGGGACACGGAGCTGGAGGGAGGCTGAGTCCAAGCGGACTGACCATCGATGCCTTCAAATAATGGTGGGAGATGGGAAAGGAAAGAGTGAGGAAGAAAAAGAAAGAAATGTAGTTAAACTGATGCATCTTCCTTTGCTTTGATCATTTCCAAGGAAAGCTTTTCTTATGAGAATCACAGCCAAATCCTCTCTTGTTCCAGGAAAGCTTTACCTGTGCAGTAAGTGAGGAGTGCTAAGAAAATCACAGCCCAACTCATGGTCAACTTTGGCAAGGAATATTCTTTTAGGGAAAGAAATTATAACCTTCTTCAGATCTTCTCCCTTCCTTTCCTTAAATGCCCCTGCTTTCTCCTTTCATGCAAATGAGATCTGCCCTCATTGGTTCTACCAGAAAACTTCCTTCCCCAAAACCATTTGAGGTCTTCTGGTTTAACCAATGACCGGAGGAAATATTTGCATATTAGAGATTTGGAAAACGGGAGGAATTAATAGGTCTCAATTAAAAATCAAATCGTGCTGCTTGTAGAATAGGAAAACTTGTGAATTTCTTCAAACACGCTTCTTTATATGTGAAATTAACGTGAAAATTATACATGAAATTGGGCAACTCTACTTCATCTCAATAGTGCGTAAAACCACCAAGCCTAGGGAAAAAGAGGAGGACCATACTCCATTTGGACATTTGGGCTAAGGCACGTCAAAAGAAATCCTCATATTCTTCATTTTATTAATATTTGGAGGAAGCCACCTGAAGCAGACTTGGTGGTCCCAATCATTTCCTCTCATCCTACATATTTCCTGTGTCCTATGAGGGATCAGCACCTTCCTTCTTCACTTACTGAGGAGGAAGAGAGGAGACATTTCAGGAGCCACATCTGACCATGCTTTTGCTGAAGTCATTTTTTGGAGAACTGTGAAAGGGCATCAGCAGCCCCTACTGGCCACTGATATTGCAACAACTGTCTTATCCCCACCTGGGCTGAAGAAATGGAGCATTTCTGTCCTTTGAGGACCATCATCTTTCTTCTGATTAAAGATCAGAAAAAGAAGAGAAGAAAGATAAGTTGAAGGAGAAGGAGGATGTGCCTTCTATCTTAATTCTCTTACAGAAGATTACACAAAGCCTCCCTTGTTGCTTTTAATACTTTGATTTGAAGAAAGACATTTCAGGTATCAATTACATATAAATCAGGGGCATCATCTTCTCTGGACGTGTCCTTCTCAACTTTAGTGGCATGTTTGGGGTTGAGGTCAAGGAGATACCAATTCCTCAGAAGAGTTTTATGAGGACGATTCATTTCTGCTGGTAAGAAAACACTTAGCACTTGGTGGTCTGTAAAGTTCAGCATCTAATGTAGGAGAAGCACACAGGAGTGTAGAACTCTTTGCAAAGGGTTCATTCTGACATCCTCTAGCCTTAACCTAAGTTTCCACCTGTGACCGCCTTTTAGCCAGTTACAATCCCTTTTCTCCCACATCCAGTCCAGCGTTGAAGCACCTGCCAATCATCTGTAGCTGCTCCAATTTTGCATCTTCTCCCTTGGTAGTTTATGCTCAAACCAGAAGGGGGCTGATGATGCCCTGGGCTTCCCCTGCATCTTCCTCTTCCATGCTCCTGTACCCATCATCCTCCTTGATGGGGACAGAGAGGCTTCCTTGCGGATGGCAATGAGCCAGCAGAAGTTTCTCTCCTGTCTTTTCAGTTCAAGGACATCCAATCCCCAGTCAAAGTATGTTGTTTCTTGTTTCAGGTTGAAGGGGAAGAGAGGAGGTTTTTGTCACACTTCCCCATAAGAATTCACCACCGTGGAACGCGTTGCCTGCACTGTTCCATCTACCACAATAATAATCTGCCTCGTCTTCAGCCTGTGCATTGGTGATGCTTAAAGATCCTGTAGTTCCAGATCTGGTGGCAGTGAACCGATTTGGGATCCCTTCTCCCCTGTTACTGCAGCCATCACAGTGGACAAAACGAGGGGATTTTCCTGGTTTCTGTTGATGCCAGTAAATAGTACCAGTAACTTGGGTTATGCAGGAGATCGCAATGGTTCCACTTGGGGACACGGAGCTGGAGGGAGGCTGAATCCAACTTTCTTGACAGTCAATACCTTCAAAAGGGAGAAAGAGAGTAGTGAAGTAAAGGAAAAAAATACCGTATCTGCGATCCACTTTATTTTTCTTAAATATTTCAGGGAACCGTGTTTTTATTAAACTCAAAAGCCAAGCTCTCTTGGACCAGGAAAACTTTACCTGTGCAGTAAATGAAGAGTGCTAAGAAAATCACAGCCCAACTCATGGTCAGCTTTGGCAAGGAATATTCTTTTAGGGAAAGAAATTATAACCTTTTTCAGATCTTCTCTCTTCCTTTCCTTAAATGCTCCTGCTTTCTCCTTTCATGCAAATGAGATCTGCCCTCATTGGTTCTACTAGAAAACTTTCTTCCCCAAAACCATTTTGAGATCTTCTGGTTTAACCAATGACCAGAGGAAACATTTGCATAGACGAAATTTGGAAACAAGGAGGAAGAATTAAAAGGCCTCAATGTCAGATCACCCTTTGGTAGATGAGGGAGCCTTCTCTATTGAAACAGTCTACTTGGGTTCAGGATCCACTCTTTCTCCCAGGAGATGTTCCAAAAAACACTTGTCTCCAGAATATGTGCTTTCTCTGAAGAGATCTGAGAAGTTGTAACTTGTAATTGCTATGAGGCCCATTATAGTGGGTGCAGAAGTCCCATGTAGGAACTAAGCCAAGGGTTGTGGGAAAGGAAGACTTTCACGTTTCCAGTGGGTGATACAATTCTCCTAGTAAGCAAATAGTCAGCACGTGGTCTGCTCAGTGGCATATCTAATGTAGGAGAAAAACAGAGGAGTGTGCAAATCTTTACTAAGGGTTCATCCCTACATCCTCCAGCCATGCCACAAACCTATCCCAGTGACCGCTCTTTAGTGCTGTATCCTCCTACAATCCCTTTTTATCCTTCCTCCTGTTCAGTGCTCAATCAGCTGAGAATGATCTCTTCCTTCTCTTCCTTCTCCAATTTTTCATCCCTTCCTTTCACAGTTTCTGCTCAGGTCATGAAAGTTATGGCGCTGTTTGCTTTCCATGAATTTGTCCCCCGGTGCCCATCACCTCCATGGAAGAGACGGAGAGAATCCTTTCAAGATGGAAATAAACTTACAGGTTTTTCTCTCCTGCACCTTCAGCTCAAGGGCCCACATAGTCGCAGGTCAAGGGATGTGGCTTGTGGTTTCAGGCTGAAGAGGCAGAGAGGAGGTTTTTGTCACACTTCCCCATATGAATGTACCACCGTGCAACATGGTATCAGCACTGTTCCCGCTACCACAGTAATAATCTGCCTCATCTCCAGCCTCCGCATTGGTGATGGCCAAAGATCCTGTACTCCCAATTCTGGTGGCAGTGAACCGATCAGGGATCCCTTCTCCCCTGCTACTACAGCCATCACAGTGGACAAAATGAGGGCCTTTTCCTGGTTTCTGTTGATACCAGCCAATGCTGTAGGAACTCTGAGTTGTTAAACAGGAGAGTGTGATGGTTCCACCTGGGGACACGGAGCTGGAGGGAGGCTGAGTCCAAGCGGACTGACCATCGATGCCTTCAAATAATGGTGGGAGATGGGAAAGGAAAGAGTGAGGAAGAAAAAGAAAGAAATATAGTTAAACTGGTGCATCTTCCTTTGCTTTGATCATTTCCAAGGAAAGCTTTTCTTATGAGAATCACAGCCAAATCCTCTCTTGTTCCAG